ATAGCACTTTTTCGACAGCTCACAACAGCGTTTATGATACCAGAGATGGCATCGTTCGCACTGGATGCCCTCGGCCACAAACTCTCCGCAGCCGCCACACTCATTCACTTCATTCCGAGCAGACATTGAAAGGTGAAAAAATATAAAAATTTAACACCATAAAATGACTACTTTCAAAACTGGAAAACTGGTAAAATGGAACACGCCACAAAAACAGTAACCAGTAAACAACTGTTTACGCAAAACGAAAACCTACCACAAACCCTGTAAAACTGAGTGACCTGCGATTGGTCACTGAATTATAAAAAGTGCCTCGGTTTTAACCCAGGCAGTGTATATTCAGTGAAATATCGGTAGATATTCCACATTTGTTTTTAGTAAAACCAGGTTGTAGCAGAGAGCACGTTAAAATTCAAACCGCGCGCGGGGTACGTACCGTTATTGTCTCTTCTAATCAGAATTGCCACTCCTCCTTCTACATATACCTGATTTCCGTCCTGCCGGTAGACGGAGAACGACTCTTGGGCCATCTGCCGTATATGGTCTGTATTATTCAGCCATGTTCCGGTGATTGCCACTACAGACACCTGTTATCAGGCTATCTGAGCCAATTCCGCCCATTTATTCCTAACGCTGCACGCGTTGGTGTACAGCATGAAAATGCTGTCCTCCGTTCCTATGCATTTCCCACAGATCCTTCTTGTTTGGGCCTCGGGCGCAGCATCCGAGGGGACAGCAATTTTTTTCCGCGGTACTTGTAGGCTGCATGTCATTTTGGTGAGCCACCTTAGCTGGTGGCTGAACCTTAGTGAGGCTTCTCCGTCTACGTTTTCTTCTTGCAGGCAAATTTTCCATCGCTCGTCTTCTAGGACATCTCCAATGACCACGACGGCGATACACCTGATATGCGTGCTACGCGCTTGCTGGGAGATATCCTCCGAGTTTGGACCTGGTCAATTAGTTTGTCAGGGTTCATACCCACTTCTCGAACACTTAAACGTTATCTGTGACTACCGCTGGGTCCACCTGGTGCGATCTGATGTCGGTCTCTTGTCCTTTGGGCTACCAACACAGCTGAGGCCAGTAGTAGAGTGCTGGCAACCTCTGTGTATGACCGACGCGCTGCGGCCGCGGACAGCGATTTTGTTCCCGAACATTCGGGGATGTTCTCTCTGTGTTTTGCTTCTACCTACCGCGACTCACATTGAAACGCAAGCCATGCTGTTTCCTTGCAGCCGATACATACCCACTCGGTCCACTTACTATGGCAGTACAGTGAATACACTTCTGAGCTCAGTTAACCCGCCGGCACCGCATGCCATTTGATCAATCTGGGACGTCTTTAGATTGTGTCTCACTTTTGAATGAATCCCTTTCTTAAAAAAATGTTTTGTAAAAACATGTGCTCTTTTATTTGTTGAAGATATATAACTGCACTTTTTAATCGTTTGTTTTAATTAACGTTTGCCTTGATCCTATCTGGATCTATCGTGTATCATTGTAATAAGCAGTCACGAGAGAAGACTCGTAAAGAATCAGGAAATTGTATTGTACGTAACGGCACTAAAAAAGGTAAATAGAAAAATGTACATGAGGGAACTCGACATTACGTGAGCCTTCAACTGTCTCCGGGTTCTGCTTCTGTGGTTTGGCAATCCTCCGCTGTTGCGGTAATGATTGGATAAGCTGCAACGCAAGGGGAAGGCGGCTTCGTCAGAACCTCACGATTCAAAGTGCCCGGTCTAATTCAAATAATAATCTCCTATACACAACCTCTACCTCACTGACAGCACCGTTTCCGGTGCTACTCTTACGTCACCTTGCGCTGGTACTTAGAGTTCCAATTCCACATCAGGTGTCGAGTCGTTACGTTCTTCCTGCTGGGTACACGGTTTCAGCCGATTGAAATGAACTACCATAGATTGAGCGTTAGTTTGATTTACAGCCCTGATTACGCATGTTACTTTAGAGAGCAAATTGATCACCTCATACGGGGCACGCCATTTTTTGTGTATNCGGTTTCAGCCGATTGAAATGAACTACCATAGATTGAGCGTTAGTTTGATTTACAGCCCTGATTACGCATGTTACTTTAGAGAGCACTTTGATCACTTCATACGGACCGCGCCATTCATTGTGTACTTTTGACAGCACTCCAGGGTTCGGTGTACTGACGTGTAGCCACACCATCTGCTCAACTCGGCAAGGCGTCCCAAAGGACATTTTGTCGTAGTATTCTCTGAGCAGTTTGTAGTTGTGTTCGCGCCGCCTGTTGCGCCCAACGAAGCGTATCGAGAAGCTTGCACACAATCTGTCACCATGGGATGTGCCTGTGTTACTGATGGTAGTCTGGTGTCTGATGGGAATCGGACTTCTCTGTTCGTCCACAGGAAGTGAGGGGTGCGTCCCGTGGAAGTGTAAACCGAACGGCGATAAGCCAACAGACACTTGCTGAGTATGGGGTCCCGATCCAAAACATTCTTATCCGTGAAGGCCTTGAGTAACGCCTTCAGAGACCTCTTGGTTCTCTTCACTAGCCCATTTCCTTCAGGGTGATACGCTGTAGTTTGTGCTTTATCGA